TTTTTTTATTTAAAACAGTATTCTTACTGTGACTCATGACTTACCATTAAATATAATGTTCTTATCATTAAATACTTTTAATTCTGTTTACTCAATACGTGACCATAAATTAGAAGCATATTTTACCAATTTCAAAACTTTAGTAAAATATTTTTACGAACGACACAAAGTGAAGTCAATGTTATCCATTTATGTTGGAGTCACAAAAATAAAAATATCCAAAAGTACGGTTTCGTGAAAATTATGAGTAGTCCTCCATTACATTAATCCTTAATTTCCGATTCTTGCTAGTTTTAGAAAAATCTTAGGTATTAAAATTTTAAGCATTGTTACAAGTTGATTCAGAAATCTAAAGCATATATTTTCCCATTGCCTCGTTATGTTTTAAGCACTTAGATTTTAATCCCCGCTTCTGCTATTAGTAGTAGCTGAAATAAATTTTCAGGCAGAATAACTACCTTTTATCTGAGGGGCTTTAAGTTCATAAACATGTGATTCCAGTAAAAATTATCTAAGTAGAATAATGGAATGATGTTTGCTAATTGCACTACAACTGCATTTGGACAACCATAAAATAATTGATTTCAGAAAATCCATTTATGATAGATTTAGTATTATTCTTAATTAAGTATTAGTATAAATAATACTTAAAAAAAGAATTTTTACAGATGTATTCAGAGATGAATTAAATGCAATTATTCCGACATTTTTCCCTTCATATATGATGATTTTAAAATTGATTCGATTTGATTTTTTTACTAACGTCTAATTTGAAATGAATGTGGATGAGGCAGGGGGCAAGTGCTTGTAATTTTGAGACTTGATCAAATTACAAAAATGACACATGGGTTTATATTTCACTCTTGCCAACCATCCAGTATAGCAGCTAGTGACGTTGACTGCTATGCCGTAGGGCCTGAGTTTGAATCCAATAAATGTTTTGTGCCTTCGCGGCTTGGGGGTACTCAGAAATAGCCGTCGAGCCGCAAATCCTCTTCTGAGGTTAGTGTAAGGTTAAAAGAGGTGGGAGGCTCCTGACTACACCCAAGGTGTTCTCTCTCAAAATTGGGATGTAAATAAGGCAAATCGCATTGTCACCAGAATGATTCTCAAATCGACATATAACGACAGGCCTTAACGACCTTATACCACCATGAATTTCGTGGACCTTTATCTGATGTTACTGTCGATCGTATGGCGCAAGTAAAAACAACAACACATTTCATTCTCCAAACATCCATACCATTAGAACGTAATGACTTTGAGCCACAACTAATTTAATCAGCATCAACAAATTAATGGTAACTCCTCAGGAGTATCAGAATTTGAATCCGCGACTTGGCAAAGCTGGCCATGGTTTCGAGACCATGGCCAATTAGATTTCTCATTCGTCAAAAAAAATTCTTAATAATAATACTCAATTTTACTTGATGTCTATTTGTGCAAAAAAATTTTGTTATTTACTTTGAATTTCATTTTTGTTAAGCTTTCTTATTTTTTTTCTTCAGAAAAAAACAGTTAACATGTAACGAAGATTATTTTTAAATCCATTCTTATTTTAAAGTCTTTTTTATCCAGACAACTAAGACTAAATTGTAAAATAACATTTATGTCTGGTTAAAAATCTTATATATAAATATATGTATAGAGTTTCAGTACTTACTATATACATTTTTTTTGTAAAAATATGATATATTTAAGATTAAAAACATTCTCTATAAAAGTATTGAGTATCTTACATGTTATTCTTTTGAATGAAATATTCCGCCCCTAAGCATATTTTACTAAACAATAGTCAAATAGCTTATGCTAAGTAATAGCTAGTAAACTTACTTTTATTGGGAGTAAAATTGAGTTTTTTTTATTCTTTGTTCTCCGCTATTTTTAAAACAGTATTTTGTTTAAAGAGTAAGGAAGAATAAACGGAAAAGAATATGTATTTTTTATTTATTTACCGCAAGATCTTATAACATTTCTGAGAAATGATTGCTGTTTTTTTTCTTTATGCAAAACAGTTGGGGTTTTTTTTTAACTATACAAGGCAGGGGGAATTGCTTATAAATCTTAATCTGTTTTAAGACACTGCAACATTTTGAAACATTTGATTCTTTTAAAAGGCAAAAATCTGAGTTTTGTGTTTATTTTTATATATTAAGAAACTTAAAAATAATTTTTATCAATTGAGGTTGAATATAAAAAAAGATGCCTTGTTTTCCCTTTTTGAACTCAAGATGAAAAATTAAAAGAGATTTTCTTTTATCTTATCCCTTAGGTTTGATATTTTGAAACATGTGATTTTGAAAGCCATTTCGAAACTTTCATTTTCCAGCTATTATGATGGACTTCAATACGGTTTTTCTCTTGATTTACTAAATGTTAAACGGTTTTCCAACAAAAAAAAATCGATTGCGAGAAACACACAAACATTTAAGCAATCAGCTAAAATGTTATCTCGAAGAGAAAATAAATACCTTTTATTTTATTTCTAAGAAATTTACTGAAAGAAAAACAACATAAAGATTCTTTGTGCGTGCTCCTTTATTTTTGTAAAGGATGGCAAGAAAGAGAATATTGGGGGCATTGTAGCATTTAGTTGAATAAAACTTTAAAAATAACTTTAACTCTCTTAAAATAATTACAAACATTTTATTTTTAAAATTGCTTGTAATTTCAATGGACTTTGGATGACTTTATTAAAACGTAAAATCATGAATTAACTAGATCATTTTAAATATACTATCTCATTTTCGATTAACGATAGATTTTCAAGAATAATTACTTATTTTCTTCATTCTCTCTTTAGGTCAGATACAACAAAGTAACACGCATTGTTTGTTTTATTAATATGTGCAGTTCTCAGAATTAATTATGTAACATTATTAAAATGCGTTGCATTTACATATTGTTATTTTCCATGTAAGAGATATATGTATTCTACTTTTTTTTTTCTCATGCTGTCACAACAGAAGCATATAATGAATTACATTAAGAAGTATATAATTCCTATGCATTCTCTACTGACCTTTGTAGTTATTAGAAATAACAGTAACAAAAACTACGTAGCAAAAATGCATTTGAAATTGCTTAAGTCACTGAATGAATCGAAGAGCAATATAAATAAGACAATGCCAGACTCAGTAATATAAATTTAAGTTTTCAATTTTCAACTTTATATTTCTACTTTTTTCAACTACATTATTATTTAAATTGTTTTTATATTTTTTTAATTTTTTAAGTATAATCCTATTAAAATTTTACTACATGCAGTCGCTAGATAGCGTCATACGTAAAATAAATGTAAATATACTTTGATATTTAAAACAGCGATACTCAACCTGCGGCTTGCGGGCCGCATGTGGCCCGTCGAGCCTTTTTAAGAGGCCCGGTCATGGCCCATTGCTCTGAGAAATTCACTTATTTAAGAACATTTTATAAAAAAATTTGGTGGGAAGTTTGTCAAAAAGTCATATATATCAATTTTGCTTTTTGGTGTCGGTGACGTGCGGGTACGAACTAATATTCTTTTTCTATTTAGAACAGTTACGATTAGTGATAACAGACAACAGTGAAATGAACAGTGGGTGGAATTAATTTTTAACTATCTTTCTTATCTTGCAAGCGAAAACTATTCGAAGAAGTCAAGTTTAAGTCGATTAGGAAGTTGACTATTTTGTAGTGAAAAATAAACATGGATTTGTAACTGTTTGATTTGTCATGAAAGTGATGTATTCAAAAAATTCCAATCCATAGGTATCATTCATTGACAATTTTCCTCGAAAATCTCTTTCAAGAGGAGATGAATAGGCTTTTTCTTGAATAATTATTGGAACAGCAACAAAGTGTTTTGTCACTGGTAATATCACAGCCGTTACAAAGACATCTCCTGAATTTTGTTTTACATTACTGGTAATCATATGAAACAGTTTACTGATGCATAAATTGTGAATGCGTGTTTCTTAAATGCTTCTAATTTAGTGTTAGTAACTAAAAAAAAAATATAAAATATAATAATTAAAAAATGTAAAATAGAGGAGTTATAATGTTATGATCAATTTTCCGCACTTTAAATTTCCAATGTTACCTAGATCTTAAAGCATGTTGTGGCCCGAGTGAAATAACTAACATATGTAAGCGGTCCGCGTGAAATGGCTGACATATGTCTGCTGCCCAGCAGAAAAAAAGGTTAAGTACCCCTGATTTAAAAGCTTGGGAAGATTTTTAAATAATTGTAAGAAAACATGATGGTGGTCAACAAAGTAAAACAACGTCCATTGATAACCGGTATACTGCTTCGGAGGACACAACGTTTTTTTTTTTTGTTTTTTGTTTTTTTGTTTTTGTTTGAAAACGTCATTCTATTAACAAAATCTTTTTCTGCTTTTATCCGTAATATTCACGGGCAACTTGTTTTCTGGGCACTATGTTTTCTATTGTGAGGATTTAATGAAATTCGCAGTTGATTTTTTTTTTCTGAAAAAAAAATTGTACATGAATGTAGATTTATTCAATTCCTCTACTATTCGTTCACTCTCTCCCTACATATATATATATATATATTTATTTATTTATTTGTATATATTATTCAAATTTTCAGTCGTTAATAGAATACTTTCTATTCATTCATTCAAGTTCAAATACATTTTTTTTAAAACTTGTAGTGGATGAAACTTCATGTTAATACAGTTTT